CTCTAAGCCTGATGAAGGGGACCCTGCGAGGCCCCGAAAGCGCTTGCCAATGAGATACAGCTACTGGCAATAAAATATTTTGCTTTTTCAACTCATGGTGTGCTGGTGACATTTTTCTACTGTTCATGTGTGGCGGTGCCATCCGCAGTCATTTCGAGCCCCCATCTTCATCAAGTGGGAATCCCGGTAAGGAGTGCGGTATGGTTCCTGTTTCTGTGATGGACTACAATCTCAATACAAACTAGTAGTCCATCACTGGAGCCATTTTTTACATTTCTTTTATTTTTAACCGATTAATCGAACTTAATAATCGGCTAACTAATCGATTTTGAAAATAATCGTTAGCTGCAGCTCTATATCTGTGCATCCCTACTAAGAAGGATCCAACTTGGTAAACTGCATGTTGCATGTGCCTTACAGTGTACACATGAAAGAATGCCTAGAGCTGAGAAGCAGCCTATTCTTCTAGCAGGTTTTTTTTTTTTTTAAGTTCTCTTTAGCTTTTAACGTGTATCTGAACCGAAAAACAAAAATGTAACAAACGCAAATATTGCAAGTCCCAGTTAGTTTTTTTTTTTCTGGCTCTTCCCCTTTTCATTTTACCTGGTAATTCTGCCAGTTACACACTTCCTGCCCCTTCATGTCTATGCATTCTTTTTTTCTTTCCTCATTGAATCTGTGGGAGGAGCACTAGTTATGACACAGGCTAGACTTCAAACACAACAGATGAGAACAGTGCACTGGCATGGATATAAATATTCTTTTAAGAAAGAACTCCAGCATTTATTAAACTTAACCTTGCAGTGGATCTACCCCCAAACTGGAAGAGTAAAGTGCTTATTTTGGTATAGGAGCAAAAATAAAGAAGATATACTCGCCTGATACTTGATCCCATCTGACTTCTAGACCGGTCCCTACAGCTGGAGCTGTGGAGAGGGGTGAGCAGCCTCTTCTCCCCTGGGCTCTGGTGGTGTACGAACCGTGATATCTTGTTAAAGATGTCACCAACAAACCATATTGTAGTGAAGAACATGTCTGTTTATTGACGCTTCATGTCAAAACCAATAACAATGTTTCTAGGCCACACAAAGTCCCCTTCATCCGGCTTGAAATGACGTTGTTTTAAGCCTGATGAAGGGGACCCTGTGTGGCCCCGAAACATTATTTGTTTTGACATGAAGCGTCAATAAACAAACAGACATGTTCTTCACTGGTGACATCTTGAACAAGTTTCAGTATTGGCGGCACCATCCGCAGTCACTGCGAGTACCCACGCTGACGGGGATACCCGGTAAGGGTTTGTTCACACCGAATGCGGTGCGTTCCAGAGCGATAGAAGCTGAAACGCACCGCAATCCCTCACAAAACCTCCCCCTGCGTTCTGGGCGCACCGCATTTGGTGTGAACAAGCCCTATGGAGTGCAGCAGGATTCTGGAATACAAGGACCATGATGACATCTAATGAAGGTCCTTTTTAGATTTGAGAATGTCAAGGGACATACCACAGCTTGAGCGAAGATACTCTCACCTGGTCCTTAGCCTTGCATGCAGTGACCGCTCACCTCCCCGATCTGGCTGTGGCGTGTGGCTGCAGGGACCGGTGTGGCAGCCATTTGGGACCAAGGATCTGGTGAGTGTATCCTTTTAATTTTCATCCCTAGACCAAAACGAGCACCTAAACCTTCCAGCGCAGGGGTAGCCTCACTGCAAGGGATAACTTTAATAAATCCTGGAGTTCTTCTTTGATGTTGAAATAAAATAAGGTATTGCATTCACATAGTAAAATCTTGTGCAGTAGTGTGTAGGCAGCAGATTACTGACTCCTGATCTTTGTTTGTGGTGTTGGAATGACCCTGGGTCAGAGCACTGGTCTCAGCACTTGGAGCACAACCACCTCTGCCTCAGGCTGTGGAAGGGGAATTGTCCCCAAAATCTGTCCTTAACAATTACCACTGACGTGCAGGACATTAAGTGGAGTCTTCTGATATACACCTTGGATGCAGAAGGATCGGAGAGGTGGTTGTACTCCATGTGCGGAGTCCAATGATCCGACCCTGAACGATTCTAATTCTGATGGCCACAAGCAAAGGGGAATCAGGAGTCCGTAATCTGTCTATACCCTCCCTGGGCAGGATTTAAAAGCGGAACCTCGGATACCTTTTAGAAATGTTTAATCTACAAACACTTATAGATAATTGCCAACTTCTTATTCTTTGTATACCTTATTCTTCTTTTCCTCATTTTTCTTACGGTGGCCATTTGAAACCATCTCCCTTTACTTCCCTCAAATCTGGGTCTGCTTCATTGAACATATAGCAATGCACATTATCTCAAGCAGAGCTGCATGCTGATGCAATTTTTTGTGAGGAGGAAAAAAATGTCTGCTTGCATGTAAATGCAATACCTTAATTTTATGTCAGATTTGTAGAAGATTTCTACACCATACGAGGGTGTCCCTTTTTCTCGTCCCTTGTGTTTCATAGTGAATGAGCACTCGTCTCTGTATTCAAGGAGCTGAATGTCTGGATCTGCTGAAACCTTCTAGGTTAATGGAGTAGAGACATTGTTGTGCTGATCCTTTGTGTTACTGTATCTGGTAATTCAGTGGGATTGTATTTAATTACGTTGTGTTATACTGGAGTATCCTAGGTGGTTTTTAATTACATTGATGCGCTTGCTTTCTGTCTAGTACACATATCGGGATCCAGTTGGACTTGCATGTCTGCCTATGTTAATTTCCATTACATTGGGTTTTGAGGGGGTTAGTAGTTTACACAATAAAGATAACTGTTCTTTATGCTTCCAATTCCACGCACAGGAAGTGACAAGGAAACTGCATTTCTGGCAAGATCAACAGGTATTTTCTGTACTTGTTGGAAAGGTTCCTAGCCTAAAAAGTGAAAACTACACATCCAAGGAATTATGAGCAATATCAGTCCTTTTTGATCTGCAGTCTGGCTGAACACAATGCGTAGGATTCAGATTTTAGCTGGGCAAATACTTTAGGGCTGCAACAACTAATCGCTGATAATCAATAGAGAATCGTTGTCAATGATTCTCATTATCGATTAGTTGATTCTGCTTCTCTCCTCCCCCCTTGGGAGCAAAGTTGGGACACAAACCCCTGCAGCCGGTGCCCAGCAGTGAGGAGAGCCTGCCCTGCCGTTGCCGCCTACGCTTCATCAGCTCTGCTTCCCCCTTCTACTCCTTGCTGGAAGACGGCTGCATTCTGTGGTCTGTATCGGTGGAGGCAGCGCGGATCAGGGTGGGCACAGATCGCTGCAGCCGGCGCCCAGTGGGAAGGAGAGACCTCTGCCAGCCTGTGACTCTGTGGCATTCCCTCTCAACCCCTAGAAAAGTGAACAGACTGAAGTCCTATTTTTGCGTGCAATAAATCAGGGTCACGTGACTCCACAGTAGAGAGAGAGGAGAATATTCTCTTCTGTTTACCTTCTGTCTGGGTCCTTTGAGTGTCCACATCAGCACCCGCATGACATGCACGCTTCCTATTGGATGTCCATTGGTCAGGGTCCTCTCGGAATCCAGAAGAGGGCCAACGTCTGTTAAAAAGACTGGTGGTCTCGGGCACCATCACCCTGCTGGTTTTGAGGTCCCCCCCCCACCTGGAAAATGCAGCAGTGTGGGAACTAGAAGGGAAACTTGAGTGAGGTATATCTGATTTCACAAGGTAAGGGGAAGCAAAGCCTATCAGGATGGATTAGAGGTTTGTAGGTGGACAATTTGCCTTATACTAGTTAGCAGAGCTTTTGAACACTTTTCTCTTGTGTACTGTTGGGAAGGGATCGCTCCACCTGACAGAACTACAAGTGTTCTTTCATTTCCAGGTGTGGAACCCAGAGCGTTGCATGTGGTATACTGCTGCCATTCTTCAAACTGCCCACAGCTGGCAGACCCAGGACATGGCAGGTTGTGCACAGAATGCAAACAGGCCTAATGTTGGGCAGCAGGGCTCTATACTTTTTCAAATACATGCTTAATGACCATGCATTTATTTTCCCAGGAAAAAGTCAACTTCCCTCAACATGGCAATGAATGTAATTTCACCTGGCCTTGGGGTGCTATCCGATGACGAGTCTCCAGTTTTTGAATCTACAGCTGCTGACTGTGCCTCAGGCATTCGCAAAGATCTTCTCAATGATTTCTCTGTCATATCACCAGGGCTAGGACACCCTTCTCAGGTAAGTGTAAATATTGTTCTCATAACTACAGCTTGGTTGCATGCCTCCTTTTTTTTTTATTTGTGTGTGGGTACTTGCATGTATGATATCATACGAATATAATGACTATATCTAGTTTGGGAAATAAAAGCTGGTGCAGAGCTTTTTCCCATTTCCTTACAGTGGTATTGAGCACTGTGGTATAACCATCTGAACTTTGGGGATCATCTCCTAAAGCATATTTTAGCAATCCTACACCTACATTTCTCTAGTGAACAAATGCTATTGAATTGCAACTAGAAATTGTTGTGACAGAAAAGTTACAAAACAAAGTGCTGTTTCTCATAGCATCAATGCAATACTCCAATGTTGTGGTCCCCACTCCTTTTTAAACTGATGAGTTGTGTAATCTGGTTCTCAGTTTAGACATGGCATGATTTCCTGTTATCTTTTAAAGAGGAACTGAACTCTGGAAGCAGTACTCAAGAAAAGAGGGAAAAGGACCAGTTTTCTGCATTTCCTGGTTCTACCTGGCACTGATCTTTCCCTAAGTACTTACTATGATTTATCAAAACTGAAGCAGGCAGAATCTGGAGCATTTGCCTATACCAATAAGCTTTAAAAATGAGAGAGAAGCTTATTGGTTACTATGGGCAGCTGCTCTGGATTCTGTTTGCTCCTGTTCCCTTCTGTGTCTTGGTAGAGGCAGGGCCTTTTCTTCCTCATTTCAGAGCCTCCCGTAAGGAGAACAGTGCGCAACACAACCAGATCTCCTTAGACTAGTACGAGGCAGCAGTGCCTTAGATCTCACACTGCAGATATACAACTGAGGTTGTATGCCTAGTAGTGCCTTGGCACACTGTCATACCAGGAAGTGCACTGCTATTTACCAGATGAATTCTTCACGAGTTATTTTTCAAGGTACTGCTTGGGCACAAATAACATTTCCAGGTTTTTTTTTCTAAACATAGTGAGGGGAATCTATCAAAATGGGAACTGATAAAATGTGGAGCAGTTGCCCAGGGCAACGAATCAGCTTCTCTCCAGTTTGTTCAGTTAAGATTTGAAAATGTAAGAGAGAAGCTGATTGGTTGCCATGCACATCTGCTCCACTTTGATAAATTCCCCTCAGTGAATCTTCTTCCTCTTTAAGCATACCTGGTGTAATGTTTAGCTTGACGTTAACTGCTTCTGTCAAAATAGGAAATCTTACCGCTGACTCTCTTGTTCTGCTTGCAGTTTAGTGGTGACCTGTTTTTTAAATGTTAAATCTTAATATTCCTTTTTATAGACAATACTTGAAGGAACTGACAAAGTAATGGTGTATGTTAGGATCAGACCTTTTGTAGATGGAGAATTGGATAAGAAAGAGGACCAGGTAAGCTGAAGCTAGTCAGTTTGTTTTTGTTGTGTGTGTTTTCCGTCATATGTGTCTTGACATCATATGTGCCCTTTTCAGGGATGTGTGGTAGTAGAAAATCAGGAGACTCTCATGTTGAGAGCACCAAAAGATTCTTTTGCAATGAAGAACACTGAACGTGGAATGGGACAGAGTGCTCACAAATTCAGCTTCTCTCAGGTAATTTGCTGTCCCCTAGATGTAAAGTACTCGCAACTGCTTATGTCGATGTGTATTAACCACTTGAAGTCCGCGGTGTTAAAACCCCCTTCCTGGCCAGGCCATTTTTCAGTATTCAGCGCTGCGGTACTTTCACTGACATGTATTCAGTCATGCAACACTGTACTGAAATGAATTTTATACCATTTTAGGGAAAGATAGAGCTTTCTTTTGGTGGTATTTAATCACTACTGGGGGTTTTATTTTTTTAATAAGGGAAAAAAAAATGCGTCCCCCTATATTAAATGATAAAACATTTATTACCCAATTTTTTGGCAAAATATAAGAGATGGGGTCACGTCGGGTAAATAGACACCAAACATGTCAAGTAGAGGTGCACCGAAATGGAAATTTTAAAACCGAAACGAAACCGAAATAAAAAAAAGTCAGGCCGATACCGAAAATGTTTTTTATTTTTTCAATTTTTTTTTCAATATTTTCTTTTTTATAAACTTTTTATATTCATTTTTTATTAAATATTTTTATTTTTTACTTTAATTTTTAGGGGCTTTTTAAAATAGACAAAGATTGAGAACACAGTCCTCAATCTCTTTTCCTGTGTCCCTGTTATCAATGAACAGGAATCCTCTTAGTGTTCCTGTTCATTGATAACATGAGAACATGGTTTGTTTACTATAACTACAATTATGAATGAATGGGGGTGATGTAGATCACTCCCATTCATTCATAATTGAGGATATAGTTAACATAACATATCCTCAATTATGTACACACACTCAGCAATCACTGAGTATGTGTACATTGCTTTTCTCTCTGACACGCTGTCACAGGAGGCTGATCGAGCGGTGTAGAGAGGAAAGCCCAGCATCCAGTGACAGCGCTGTCTCCGCCCACACACCGCTCTGCCGGACTGTGATAGGCGGCTGAGCGGTGTGGGAGGAGAGATGCCGGTCGTTCACAGCGCTCTCGTCCTGCAGCGCTCGGCCGGCTGTCACTTTCTTTTCTCCCCGCTGGAACAGCGCACATCGGGGAGAAAAGAAAAACAGGGATGTGCCGTTGTATCGGCCGAAACATGGCTCTTTCGGCATTATGCCAAAAGTGCAATTTTCGGCCGATATATCGGTGCATCCCTAATGTCAAGCCTTAAAATTTTGCACGCATGCGAAACCTCAAAAAGCTACAATACCCAAAATTGGCCATAGGCGACGCTTTAAAAGCTTTTACCGCTCATCAGTTTAGTGTTATCAGTGATTAATGGCCCTAAAATGATGGCTCTCACTCCGACGTTTGCGACGATATGTAACGTGTAGTGCAATTGTCATTTTCGCACTCTGGCACATCAAACACGTATTTACGTTATGTGGGACTTAAAAATGTTGGTTTTTTTTTTTTACACTTATTGTTATCACATAGGAGGATAACTATCCCTCTATATAATAGCAAAGGCACACTGACAGGTCCTCTTTATGGAGACATTAGGGGTCTCCGAGACACCTAATGTCATCTGGCACTTTTTTTTCTGCGCGCGCAGAAAAAAAAAAGTCGTCTAATTACGACAACCAGCCCGTGTGAGTCTGCCGTCCTGTCCGTTTTTTCACAACGGGCAGATGGCAAGAGGTTTAAAAAAAAATAATAATCCCAAAAATATATTGAAGGTAGTTTTTAGTTTTTCTTAATCTAATAATTAGGTGACAATTGATACAACTCTCCAAATGAAGCCTGCCACACCTTTACCTGTATCGTACAATAACATGTTTTCCTCTTTTTTAATAGATTTATGGGCCAGAGATTGATCAGAAACAATTCTTTGATGGGACTATGAGGCTAGTAGTGAAGGATGCACTAAATGGACAAAACTGGCTGGTTTATACATATGGAGTCACCAACTCCGGCAAGACTTATACAATTCAAGGTAGATTTAAAAATGTATGGAGTTTTGGGAATGTTCTTAATATGCATGTTTTGATGGCCATTTCTATTTCCTGCTCAGGAACAAATAAAGATGGTGGCATTCTGCCTCGCTCCATTGCCCTCATCTTCAACAGTGCTCAGGACCGCCTATACAAAAGCTCTGACCTTAAACCTCTCTCCAATGAAGTTATTTGGCTGGACAGCAAGCAAGTGCGCCAGGAGGAATTGAAGAAGATCTCCTTAATTTGTAATTTTCGTGAGGTAAGTGTACATGTACTAAGAATATGCTTTAAAGCTTAACTCTAGGCAAACGGGTAAATACACAGATAAAATGCATGTATGGGAGCCTGCCAAAGTACTGTATCCCTTTATCCATCCACTTCTGATTAACCTCTGCTCAGTTTAGTAACTCTTACAGGTCTCCTCTCCAGCCCCCAACCTGTGAATGGACAGGAGAAAAAATAGGCTGATAAGGTTTTTTCTGTCCCTTTTTCCTCTATCAGCATGCTCCTTGCACTGCAGCATAACTTATTGGTTCCTTGTGCTGCTTCTCCCTCTTTTAGTTGAGCTGGACAGGAGGTTGCAAGCTGCTGATACCAAGCCAAATTCAGATACTTGCACTGCTTGCATAAAAAGTTGATATATTATTGAATACAGAGCTTTATTATTTTTGTCTGCCTGGATGGAATTCAGCTATAATGAGTATACCGGTCTATGCACTTTATATTTGGCTAATTTTTCTAAATACAAAATAGAAATCATTTTGTTAAAATTCACTGAAGTTTATTTTGGTTGGCTGTAGGAAGAAATTATGACACCCATGAAAAGGAGTGGTGGCAATGAGTCCCAGTTTCGAGGCGGCACAAGCATAAGCTTTGATAGTGGAATTGGAGGACTCTCCTCAACAAGTCATACCAATCAGACCAGCATTCAGTTGGAAGGTAACCTAGAGTTTAGAGCTAATAAAGCATGCACATGTAGGATTCATATTTTTTGAGTGACTGGTGTTTTCTTACATTCCAGAGATGTGCTCACGATGGGGTGAGCAAGATATAATTTCACTTCAGGAGCCTTCTGATATTCAGCTGTCCATTTGGGTATCTTACTTTGAAATTTATAATGAGTTTGTATATGACTTATTGGAGCCTATGCCCTCTGGCCCGAACCGTAAAAGAACAACACTGAGGCTGTGTGAAGACAGGAATGGAAGCCCTTATGTGAAGGGTAAGGCTATTCAGTGTTCTAGCTCATTCAGGCAGGTATTAAATGCAAGGTCCCCCTTTTTTTGTTTTTCCTTCCCTCCCTTTCTAAAAAGCAGCAATAAATGGGGGGGGATTATTAAAAGTACTTGACTTTCCTCTAGCTTCTGTCTATGGCATTGAGGTGCACGGGTGACGTCGCACTCCTGGCAAGATCCCAAAGAATGTGAAGTAGGCTAGATTTCGCAAGATCATATTCCTGCACTGTCCTGTAGTGTCATCTCAGGAGATTTGACATACATCATTTGGTCTGACAGTGTCATCTCTAGAGTTGGACTACAAGGACATTCCCTTGTATCTCGTCGTATTGTGCTTGACATCATCCCCAGTAGGTTAAGAAGGTGAAAGGAAAAACAGGTGTTCAGATACAACAAACGGACTTCATACTGCTGAGTCAGCAGCTCACCATATTGAATCCAGGTAGTCAGCATTATAGATGGGTAGTTTACCTTTTCAGGAAGTTAAGAATGGCAGCCCTTCATATGTCTCTAACAAGTTTACTTTTAAATTGGCTTTCTGGGCGTGACTGTCAATATACAGTAATTTGCTTATTACATATGCAGGTTGCACTTTGTGCTTAGTAGTACTACACAGTAATTGTGCTTTACTGTCTCCTCCCTCTCTGAAGTCTGTAAAATAGTTCTGTAGGGGGATTGACTTCACTGCCTGATAGATACATGACCACTAGTGGGAATATGTTTTACTAAATCATGGAACTCTAAAGCGGGGAGTCCTCTGTCAATAGAATGTCATGCAAATATTACAATGTTTTTCAACTTATGGGTTTTTTTTTGTTTTTGTTTATTTACCTTTTTTACAAATTCATGTTTATCACAGACCTCAATTGGATAAATGTACACAGTGCTGATGAAGCTTGGAAAGTGCTGAAAGTTGGAAGAAAAAATCAGAGCTTTGCCAGCACACATCTAAATCAAAATTCTAGCAGAAGGTGAGATGAAAAATCAGCCAAATGTTAGAAATATTGATAGTAAAAAAGAATTATCATCTAGTGATCTTGTCACAGAAAAAAATATGTTAATTCATCAAGTGTGTTTGCATTTGGCCTTGTAGCAATGTCATTAAACGGTGCACCTGGATGAAATGGGCCCCCCCTTTTTTTTAACTGGTCCCCATTGTATGATTACTGTACTGTCATTTGTAGAACTAATATGGCCCTTTAAATGAAAATGTGGTCGCACACTGTCCCATGTTTCAATATAGTTCCAGACAAAGGAAGCCTTGTCTGATGCTTACGCTGTCTCCCAGGCTTAATGCTAGACAGTAGTCTGGGTGGAAATGTATATACCCATTACCGTATGACAACGCCCACGACAAAGCTCAATTCCGCACACTGTAAGCTTCCTGTTATGAATTGCGCACTCCGATCCCTCAAAAGCCATTTACCTTGATGTATACTTTGTTCTTCACGCCCCCAAATCTTCTTCGGGTGCAAGTACAGCTCCTGCTGTACTCTCAATAGACATAATCACTACAGTCGCATCTCTGCCTCCTTCTCCTCCAGGTCATTTACAAAACAAAGTGTTTGTGTTTTGTGAATAGCCAGAAGGAGGGGTAGTCAGAGATGTGGCCATAGCACTGAGACCTGCAGCACATACATCTAAGCATGTACTGAAGTATGGAATTATACTTCCATCTGCATGAAATCAAGATTTGCTATGTAAATCAAGGCAAGTAGCTTATTGTGCTCAGAGTTGGGCATTAAATTAACAGATGCTATATACATTACAGTCTGCAGTATCCTTTTATATATTAACATAGTGCAGCACTGTTCACTTTTTTTAAATCGGCATTTACTTGCACCTCCCAACTAATGTAAACAATGGATCTGTGCAAACATCCCACCTGAGTACACAATGGGACATAACTGTGAATCTGAAATTCACTGCCGGTAAATATTACACGAGAGTTGGTTGAAATGAGTCACCCCCCCAGTGAATGTTTAAAGGTCACAATTACCTCTATAAATATTCCGCTAATTTATTAACTAAGAAAATAAACCATCTCTTGAGCTGAAGCTAATTGTTCTGTAAAATCCTGTGGTGTTTTTTTTTTTTTTTCTCTTTTCCCCCCTCCCACATGTCTATTGCCTTTTACAGAGCCATGGAAATGGCCAAATAGCTAGGCACCCAAAAAGTAGCAAGAGAACGGTTAGGGTTTGTTATAAGTATTCTTTTTAAGAAAGCATAGACATTTTTCTTTTTTTAGCTTACAGCTTTTCTTTTGTTTTTCAGTCATAGTATCTTTTCTATCCGGATCCTTCATTTACAGGGAAAGTATGATATGACCCCAAAGATCAGTGAGTAAGTATACGCGCAAGTCCGTAAGTTGGTCTCCTGAAAGTTAATTGTTATGGTTGTTTTATTTCTATATTTAAAATTATTTAATTTTTTTTAACCACTTGCTGACTGGGGTGTTAAACCCCCTTCCTGGCCATTTGGGGACAGATAGAGCTTTCTTTTGGTGGTATTTAATCACCACTGGGGTTTTTATTTTCTATTATATAACGAAAAAAGTTCCAAACATTTTGGGGGGAAAACTGTTTTCCCTACGTTATGTTATAAAACATTTTATCAGTACCCAATTTTTTGGCTAAATATAAAAGATGGGGTCACGTTGGGTAAAAGAGCAAACATGTCAAGGTTTAAAATTGCATGCGCCCATGAAATCGCAAAATGCTACCATGCTTAAAATTGGTCATAAGCGACACTTTAAAAGCTTTTACCGCTCATCGGTTCAGTGTCATCAGATGCTCACACTCCCACATTCACGGCGATATGTAGCATGTGTGGCATAATCGTTGTTTTCGCATGTAGGTGCACCCATTTCTTGGGATCTATCTATCCTTTTCCTGCCACCGACTTATGGCATACGGTGGAACACAACTGATTTTGGCCTGCCACATCAGTATGCCATACGTCGGTGGCTTTTAATGTTCTGCTATAAGCTCGCTTTAGCGTATGTTTAATGAATAGCTATCATCAACTAGTCATTTTACAGGGGACAGTCAGGGGTCCCTTCTGTTATAAGTTCATGGTCGCTGAAGAGACTGAGCTTGTAGCAGAAGGGTAAAACCCAGCGATGTAAGGCACGCTGAAGTGGCCAGCTGGAAGCGGTTGTTCCGCCATATGCCTTGCGTCGTTGGCAGGGAATGGGTTGAAGGGTATACATTAAAACTGTTAAAGGAGAACTATGAGGTGATTGAAAATCACTCAGCCTCATAGTTCTAGCCGACCTGTGACAATGAAACTGTCATAGATCGGGAAGTGAGCGAACACATACCGTCGCTCGCTCACTTCTCGATCCTGTCCCCGCAGAAAGCAGTGACTGTCACGGCTCCCTGCAGGCATTCCCCCCCCCACTCCCCTGTCCGATCCTCCAGCGCTGACTGGCAGAACGGACAGGGGAGGGGGCGGGTTCAGCTGGCTCTGTCAATCACGCAGCTGGGTGGATCTCAACAGTAATGTCGGGATCCGTCCCGGCTGTAGCGTCTGAGTATACCGCGAGCTGTAGCTCGCGGTATACTGAGCTTTGGGTGACGCTAGTTTGTGTCCTCCCGTTACCCTTAGGAGAACTATGGGGAAAAGCACTGACCCCATAGTTCTCCTCCTTTTAATAAATATCAAGCTATTTTAAGTCACAGTTAACTTATCGGTTTACCCCATGTAAGAAGACATGAATGAAACTTCAGGAAAACTATCTTCCTTTTGATTACTATAGCCCTCTGATTTTCTCAATTTGAGAATTTGTTCTCCTGCAGGCTGACTTTCTGTGATTTGGCTGGATCTGAGCGATGCAAAGATCAGAGTAGTGGAGATAGACTAAAGGAGGCTACAAATATCAATACATCTCTTCACACTTTGGGCCGCTGCATCAGTGCCCTAAGACAGAATCAACAAAACAAGTAAGTGACTTCTATACACATTAACAATGTTGTTTCTGCACTTGTGATCACTTTTGGGTCACGACCCACCAGTTGAGAACCAAGGGTTTAGACAGTAAGTTAAACTTGTAAAAACATTGTTATTTCTTACAAACTTGATCTCATTTAAGGCTGCGGCAGAATGTGGTTCCATTCAGGGACAGCAAGTTGACTCGAGTCTTTCAAGCCTACTTCACTGGCCGAGGAAAATCATGTATGATTGTGAACATCAATCAGTGTGCTTCCACCTATGATGAGACACTACATGCTATGAAGTTCTCTGCAATTGCTAGCCAGGTAGTGGGGTGTGGTGGGTTTACCGCCAGCGTGACCTATTTGGTGAAAATTCTTCTGATCCAATTTTTTTTTCCCCCCCAGCTGGTCCAAGCACCTCCTGTAAAAATTAACTTGCGCACTATTCAGTCTCTTATCAAAGAGAGCAGTGTTCTAGCCAATCGTAGCTACACAGATGATGAAGATGCTGCAGAAGCTTCCGATGAAGAAAGTGATACTGAAACCGATATCACAATGTTTAATAGAGAGGTTTGTTGGCAAGACTGGCATTTCTTAGAACATTCTAATGAAGCTATTGCTTAAATGAGGGGAAACAACAATGTTTAAACACTGACTCTCTCGATTCTGTCTCTGTTAGGAGCTGCTACAAGTCATTGAGCATTTAAGGCAGCTCATGATTAAAGAACGTCAGGAGAAAATGGCCATTGAGATGAAGATTAGGAATGAAGTCTGTAGTGAGATGATGGAAATGATGCAGCAACAAAAATCTCAATTCAGGTAAGTCTATATATTGATTTCAAGGAGAACTATGAGGTGAGTGATCTACTCACGCTCCACGCAGGGATTCCCCCCTCTCCGATCCTCCAGCGCTGACTGGAGGAACGGACAGGCAGAGCCCGCTGTCAATCAGCCAGCTGGGTGGATCTCGACTGTCTGGATCTGTCCTGGCTGTGGCACTCTCAGTATATAGTTTGCTATATACTGAGTTTTGGATTACGGGAGGACGTTCGTATATGTCCTCTTGTGACCCTAAAGAGAACTATGAGGAAAAAAAGGTTACCCCATGGTTCTCTTTTAACACTTAACCGTTATTGTACAGAAACTGTGTTAAGTAGTTGTTGTCTTTATTTGAAGCGAGACAATGGAAGATGAGCGAGAGCTGTTGGAAGAGCTGTATGAGGGAAGGCTAGAGAACCTGAAAGACTCGCTCACAAACTATTACAAGCGGGAGTTGGAGGTACATTCGCAATACTATAGTAGACATGATCCTCTCTCTTTCTTCCCCCCCCCCTTTTTCTTTTTTTTGTGTGCGTTTTGCTACAAGATCTTTGCATGTCACACAATACCATGCTTCTTTTTAGTATTTGGTGTCACGTATGTTAATTCTTGTGCATGGTGGCTTGATAATGTTTTAAAGTATTTTAAATGTTTTGTGTGTGTGTACAGTATATGGGGATTTTAATCCCATAGGCAAGTCATTAAAAAAATCCTTCGTGTTCAATTGGAACAGATCACATCTTCATTTTATACCAACTTTTTTTGTGTTTGAATCCAGGAACGAGATGAGCGAATTGAGGAGCTACAAGCTGCCCTGGAGGAAGCCAAAGATGTTCCTGATGCATTAAACACTACAAAAAACAAAAAAGACAGTGTTCCTCTGCGCAGATCCAAGCGGCTGGCAACATCTGATATGTCTGAATTAAATAAACTTAACTTGGAAATCGCAGATCTTAATGCACAGTTAAAGTCCAAGAATGAAGGTGAGTGTTCCAGTAAGGTGTGATCATTTGTGGGATTTGTAATATCAGTTATTAATCCTAACTAAGTGTTTTAAGGCCCACTCCTAATGGTTGCAGCCAAGCTCCCAGGAGGTAGAATTTTATATTTTTTGGCCCACTCCTAATGGTTGCAGCCAAGCTCCCAGGAGGCAGAATTTTATGTATTTTTTTTTTTTTTTTTTTATGCTTTCTTAAAAACATTATAATGAATTGTAATATATTGGATAGTTAAGTATTTTTATAATGTCATTGTAATGGAAGTATTTTTATAATGTAATATCGGTCTAATTTAGAAATTGAAAGACTTAAGATGAATCATGAGCCACCTTCATCTGCAAGGACATTCACAGCTGAAGTAGATCGAAAGATTCTAGAAGGGCAAAAGGTAAGCCAAAATTTTATAAGGGAGCATATGCTGTAAGTAGTGCGTATTTGTGCAGCTCTTTATGTAACCCTTAGAGTAATCCTGTTTGAGACTTAGAGTGTTTTTCCCCATAGTTCTCTTTAAGGGTCACAGGAGGACATATACGAACCTCCTCCTGTGAAACCAAAGCTCAGTTTATCCCAAGCTACAGCTCGCAATATACTGAGACCGCCGCAGCTGGGACGGATCACGACAATGCTTTTGAGATCCACCCAGCTGTGTGAATGACAGCTGGTTCTGCCTATCTAGAGGCAGAGCCAGCTGTGCCCTCCCCCGTTCGTTCCTCCAGTCATTGCTGGAGGATCGGAGCGGGTAGGGGGGAATCCCAGCGGGACAGTCACCGCTGCCTGCAGGGAGATGATCGAAGTGAGCGAGCGCCGGTATGTGTTCGCTCACTTCCTGATCCATTGAGCCGACGTGTGACAGTTTCATTGTCACAGGTCGGCTAGAACTATGAGGGTGAGTGATTTTCACTCCCCTCATAGCTCGCCTTTTTAAGTTGTTTGGATAATTACCTCTGTATGCCCTACAGTAGGGGTACGTGTGCGTGTCTGTGCGTATGTTTGGCTGTTTTATGAGAGATGGGGATTACTCAGGTGGTGGTTTCCAAAGACACATACTTTCATTATTCCTTGATCTTAACTGAGCCTTTTGGTCAGATCGATGAAACCTATTTTGTAAAAGGATAGTAGTAATGATTGTGACTAGTTATCCTTTAACCAGTTGAAGTCCGTGGTGTTAAACCCCCTTCCCATCCAGGCCATTTTTCAGTATTCAGCGCTGCGATACTTTGACATTTATTCCGTCATGCAACGCTGTACTGAAATGAATTTTATACCCTTTTTTGGGGACAGATAGAGCTTTCTTTTGGTGGTATTTAATCACCACTGGGGGTTTTATTTTTTTACTATATTAAGGAAAAATTACCGAAATTTAAAAAGAAAACCGTTTCCCCTATATTAAATGATAAAACATTTATTACCCAATTTTTTGGTAAAATATAAAAGGGGGGAATCATGTCGGGTAAAAAGACACCAAACACGTCAAGCCTTAAAATTGCGCGCGCGCGAAACCTCAAACGGTAATACCCAAAATTGGCCATAGGCAATGCTTTAAAAGCTTTTACCGCTCATCAGTTTAGTGTTATCAGTGATTGATGGCCCTAAAATGATT